ATTATGAATATATATAATATAAAATATTATTAAATATTTCAGTTTATTTTTTAGATTCATATAGGAGTTTATTATAGATATAGGAGCACATAAAAAACAACAAACACTTGATTAAATGTCTTCTGACCTTACATTTTTAGTTTTTAATAGCAGAGAATTATCCTTTTGAATTTTTGTTTGCTTTGACTTTTGAAAATCGGACACCAATCCTTTTGATGCACATTAAAATTTTATTAATGCTCATTTAACAGAAACTGTGATTTTCATCTCAATAGAGGAGGTTTGATGTTCAATGAAAATGTCATTATGTCAAACTAACAAACCTTACGATTTTCACATCAATGAACATTTTGTAAGTTACGTATGCTCATTTGGTACTGATTTATTGCTCATTTTTAAGTGTCATATGAATGCATTTTTTTAAAGTATTATTTTACGTTAGATTCACGTATTGAAATTCATAGGAGTTAATTATAAGTATAATTTAATAAGCTTTTATAAAAGAAAAAAGAACAAAAAGAAAGTGAATCAGAAGTTCTGAAGCAGAAATCATGATGCTCAATATTAGACTCTTAATACTCAACAGAATAGGTCGTATGCTCATTAAAAGTTCAGTAATACTTATTTTACAGAAACTACGATTTTCATCTCGAGATATGGTTTTGATGCTCAATGAAAATGTCGTGATGTTCAACTAACAAATTTTACGATTTTCATATCAATGCGCATTTCGTAAGTTACATATGCTCATTTGGTATGATGTTGTGCTCATTTTAAAAATGTTATGTCAATGTATATTTCAAAAGTAACATATAACATTATACTCGCATACTGAAATTAATAGGAGTGTATTATAGATACTTCCTCCGGTTCTTATTTAAGTTCTTAGTTTGACTTCACACATATTAAGAAAATGAATTTGACTTTACTGTGGAGTGCACTGTTTGGCACTATTTGGCACTGTTTGGACACTGTTTGGCACTGTTCTGCACTGTTTTGTTTCCTAAAATGGAAGTGTGAATTTAAATAAGGGACATCCCAAAAAGGAAAGTGAGAACTTTAATAAGAACCGGAGGGAGTATAATTTAATAAGTTCTTATAAAAGAAAAAATAAGAATAAGAAAAAAGAATTAGAAGATATGAAGCAGGGATCGTGAAACTCATTGTTAGCCTCTTAAATACTCAATAAGATAGGTCAGATGCTCATTAAAATTACACCATTGCTCATTTAGCGAAAACCGTGATTTTTCGCTTAAATTACAAAAATGTCACCGATTTTTTTTGGCCTTAATTAGTGATTGGGCTGTCTTTCTTACTTGGGCCGGGTGTACGTACACCCGGATGCACTATATACGTACTGAAAAACTATAGATGACAAATCGTTTAAATTGGATAGCTCATTGCCTAATTTAAGTTTAAAAAAAATACGTGTACAACAACAACACCCAAGCATTAATTAATCTCAAAAGAATTTGGAGTCAGCTAACATGAATCGGCCTATGATATTGATGCCAAAAAGAGAAGATGGACAAGAAAGAGAAGAAAAAAAAAGATACAATGAATAAAATAAAAATAAATAAATATAAGATAACAATAACACAAGAATATTTTTTTTTAATCAAATACGAGTCACGGACCGCTAGTATATTATTTAATGTGCTGAAAAGATCACTAATTTTTCACACAAGACTAAAAAGAACACAATCATAAAAGACCGAAGAATGCAGTTCTTAAGAGACCACGTTGATGTTCACGACAGAGCATAATTAAATCCCAAAAATAGAAGTAGCAAACTAGATAGGATGAATTAAGCGAATGAGAGAACACGTTCTTGATCAATATTGTACGGGACAAACAGCAGCTAGGAGATAACCCACAATCGGTGAAAACCCGCACCAACATTAGAAAGGCCATCATGTATTCCTTTTACATAAACCACTCCGATGGTACATTTGGATAGAGGTCATCAAAATTTTCGAAGTACTCATGACTAAAAGGATCAGTATAGTCGTCATAATCAAAATATTCATCAAAGTCATAACCTTCATCGGAAAAGTCCATTGCATACTGTAACTCGTCATAGGCCTAACATAATCAGAAAATTCAGTCACAAATTGAATCATGAGGGTACTTTAGATCTTTAATTTGCTTAGAACATTTTTCCAACAAATCTGCTTCCAAAGCAACGTTGAAACACCTTCTCAAGTCGAGAGATTTAAGATGAGGGCAACCATCAACTATTGCCCGCAAACCTTTATTTGTCATGTTACTTCCCACTGTTGCTACTACTACTACCTCAACGAACTTGCACTCCATATATTCAGTCTTGCTTCGGCTCAGTCTGAAACTCTTGGTCTCCAATGTTTGTCGCCATACTTCCAATTTTGCTTTAACACCGGATTGTGACTCATCAATCAATACAATATCATCGGCAAACATCATGAACAATTGTATATCTTCTTGAACTGACTTCGTAAATTCATCCATGACTATAGCAAATAAGAAAGGACTTAGAGCAGATCCTTGGTGCACTCCGATAGTAATAGGGAACTCTGTGGTCCTCCGTCAGGGCCGGCTAGAGCAATTATGAGGCCCTAGACGGTCATGTAGAAATTTTGTTTTAAATATATTTTATTTAACCCAATGATATAAAAAATAGCAATTAAATATAAGTAAATTACATATAAAATACATCATATACTATTAACACGGTGAGAATATTCTTCGAAATCAGAAGATCAAAGTTGATGAAAAAATACAAAGAGCCCTAGAGGGAGAAGGTTTTGTGCTTACATACAACATACCGATCGATAGAGCCGGAAAGTGATTTCATGACCAAATCATTTCTTAATTTTTTTCTTTGTCTTTGTACATCTTGATTCATATTTTGTTTTCCAATCATCACAAAACATAAAATTTCATTCAAAATAATACTATCACTAAATATAAGTTAATGGTTCATAGATATAAATTTAATTCACTAAATTTAATCAAATATAAAAAATTATAAGTATGTTCAATATTTCGATGAATCAAAATAACAAATTACAATTTCAATTATTCAATAAGCATTCAAATATATTTAGAATACTCATTATCCTAAATCCCTAGCCCTACTACCCTAGCCAACAAAGAAAAAAAAGGAAAAAGGAGCAAATAAGCTCACATACTAACCAAAAATGTCAAATAAGCCCTTGTATAAGAAACTTTGTCCCGCCGTCGCCATTTGGGGCAGTTCCCGGTGGAATTTTTTGATGAAATTTTTTGAGAATCTTATTCATCAATTCTTGTTTACTTATACCAAATTTCAGCTAACAATTCAACATGGAAGTCATTCAAATAAATTCTTGAAGATAACTGCGCTTTTAACTGCGCAGTTATCTTCAAGAATTCATTTGAATGTCTTCTCGATTGAATTTTTAGGTGAAATTTGGTATGAGTAAACTAGACATAATGAATACGATTCTAAAAAAAATCATCAAAAAATTACAAAGGAAACTATCCCAAATGTTGACGGCAGAACAAAGTCTCCTAAATAATATTAATAAGCTTATTTTATAAATTAGAGGCCCCTAAAATTTGGAGGCCCTAGACACTTGTCTAGGGTAACTCCCCCTATGGCCGGCCCTGTCCTCCGTACACTAGTGCGGACACTTGTAATGCAAACATCATACATATCCATGATGATACTGATATACTTATGTGATATGTCTTTTCTAGTTAAGGTTCACCAAAGAACTTCTCGAGATACCTTATCATATGCTTTTTCTAAGTCAATGAACACCAAATGCAGATCCTTTTTAGTGTCTCTATACTTCTCCACAACTTGTCTAAGAAGGTGAATGACCTCAGTTGTTGAGTATCCAGACATAAAACCATATTGATTCTCCGAAATTTTCACACTTTTACGAAGTCTTTGCTCAACCACTCGCTCCCAAAGTTTCATGGTGTGACTCATAAGCTTAATTCCTCGATAGTTAGCACATTCTTGTACATCACCCTTATTTTTAAATAAGGGAATGAGAGTACTCTTCCGCCAACTCACTGACATTTTGTTGTTACTTCAAATCATGTTGAAGAAACGTGTTAGCCACTCGATGTCTTTCTCTCCCAAGCTTCTCCAAGCCTCGATCGGTATGCCATCTGGATCCACTGCTTTCTTCCGCCCCATTTTTCTCATAGCCTCTTTAACTTCTGTTATTTGAATCCTTCTCATGAAGTCCCAATTTACCATACACTCTGGTATAGTAAGATCATCAATACCTTGCACTTTATTCCCGTTGAACAAGGCATCAAAGTATGACCTCCATCTAAAAAAATACGTGTACCACAACATTTTTATTAAATAAAACACTCATTATAAATTGAGTACTTTTGGTTAGTAGATTTAAAAAAAACTTGACTACACATGATAAACAAATACGATAGTTCTTTATAAAATTTGACCTATCATTGGTGCACAGAGAAATCCTCATAGCCAATCAATTGAGAACTCTAGGGGGTGATAAGTAAAATCTAGGTGTCGTCTTGAACCGGTCGGTTCACAGACCAAGAGAAGTGGTATTCAAAACTTTACTTGGATGTACCAGTTGCCGTTCTGATTCCTTAAGCTTATTTTTGGTCCACATTTCCACATGGTCTTGATGAGTGCATGAAGATATGAAAATGTCTTTCTCAACTTCTATAACACCATCACAAAATTCCAAAGTCCTAAAAGATTTTTTTAATCTAAATATTATTGATGACATAGCAAAGTATGTCTGGTCCATTTGTTTTGTTAATGCAGTTAACCTCTCAAACAATGGATCATATCATCATATCCAAGTGCTTTCAGGTGTCTAATGCTGCTAAAAGCATCATCTTCATGGCTTCATTGTGATAATTAATCTGTTTTAGCTTAGCCGCCTTTGGATAACTAAATAAATCGGTGACTAGTAAAAGTGCATATTAGAAGGGCTAATAAAACAATTATGCCAAAACCTTATACCAAATGAATTATATTCATTTCCATAACTAAATTGATATTTATAAGTATTATTCAAAACAACTATAGTTTCATGAAGTACTTCACATTTAAACTTATGTGTTAATCTGAGGATTCTGAGCCAGAGAAATATGGATGGTTCATATTAAACACCAACTGGTCTCGCTAGAAAACATATACACATCAAATAAGAAAACAAGAGAAGCATTTTCTTGATGCAAAGTAAATGTACACAGAAGATGGCTTCAATGTCAGAAACTGTGGATAATTACAGTGACAGTGACAGAAGTGAACGATATACACCAAGTTTTAAGGCAGTGAATTTTTTTTAAACAGATGGGCCTGATCTAAGGACAACTTCCAGTTTCTCGGCTTTGATATAGTCATTTTCCGTTAAAGGACCCACAGGGAAAGGTGTGATCTCTACTATTAGGTGTGGTGTCGGGAGCTCATCAAACAGAGCTCTCACATTGTTGCAACACACACTTTCTCCATGAGCACTCTCCCTCCTGATCTGACAACCCTATAAAATGATGCCTTCTTTAAGTCATACTTGATCCGATAAACAACAAGAACTTAGTCAGAAACAAAAAGAAAATGGGTAAAAATGATTTGATCACCACCTTGTGAGAAGTGGCATCTCTAAAATGGTCGTCGTCTGATAGTAAGGAAGCAATGTCTCTAAGAAGACGCCGACCTTCAGATTTTGATGGCACCCTGTAATTACGTCTAAGGGTATTCTTAGTTGTTGGATGCCATTTGCTTACTAGTTTCCTTTTGTCAGCGGCTTCTTTTTCTGTTTCAAAATGCACACATATACATATTGCAGGGAATGAGATTCCTAAAGAAACATTCATATGAACAGATGTATTTATATGTAAGGCGTGCAATCATGTTTTACTACAGGAACCACACAGAAAATTTAAAATTTTTAAAAATGTGCCATTTTTTAGAATAAGCCATCATCAAGGAAAAATTTCTCATGAAGTTACTTAATATGCTGAGATACTAAAGTATCAATGGGAAATGCGTACACACAAAAATTGCAAACAGATTTTTTTTCTGAATAAAAGGATTTGTTTTCTATGGCATGAGTGTATAGAGCTGCAATGTACAATGCTTGACTGGACCTTTCTTACTATAATTCATTTTGCTTCCCATCTAAAAAACAATACTTTGTATATGAAAAAGAAGCAAAACTGAAAAAGTAAACAAGATACATAAGGTTATTATATATTAGTAATATACACGTATAGTGAGCTGGCACAGTTAGTTAAAGTCTAGTTAGATATGTTGTTATAGGCTTAACTGTAATCTGTTAGCCTCAATACTTCATGTACTTTACTGATTTACTCATTTGGTAATCAATATACAGTTCACATTCTTATCATTCTGAACCCTATTGTATCTTCTAATATGGTATCACGAGCATGTGTTTGTATCTTCTATGTATGCCAATATGCCATTGACTTGACATTCGGTTTCTCTATTTGTCTTTGGTGTTATTAAGTAAAAAGGCATAATGAATTTAACATATATATAGTATTAGAATTGTTGAGTATATTCAGAAAATTCATATTACAGAGGGCACTAGCAGGTAAATAGATCTACTTCCCCATACTCAGTAAATATGGCATTTTCATTTCACAAGCAATGACTAACATGCATAACATTTCACCAGAATATTTCAAATAATTATCAAGAATGGCCACATACCTGGATTTCGTCTCCACTGATCGAACCACTTGGAAAATCCCATGTCATCAGCATCAACATTCTCAGAATCTGCCAGAAACATAGAGAACTTATATATATATAAAGCATAACTAATTCAGCGAAGAGTATGATGACACGTAAACCCTAACTCCGGAAAAGGATTTGATTTACAAGCATTGAATATGTTATATGTGTTCTATAGTATGCATATAGTTGAGAACCTGAAAAGATGGGATTAGAAGGAGATCCAGCCAAACCAGCTTTCAGGAGGGCATAGAAGATGGCAACTCTGCCCGCCCACAAGACGGGGGTATCAAGAAGAGTGGCATGGGTCCTAGTTTTGGAAGCAAGGTGTGAGGCCTTCTTCGTTCTGCAACCCAAACTAAACCTCAAATCAAGGCTGGGAAATAAAGATTTCGGAAGCAGAGTAGTCCGGCGCTTGAAGAAAGATGACGAGATGCTTTGATCAGTAGGTAGGGTTTTGATGGCGGTCTGTAGAAGAAACATTTGGTCTGACTGGATTTTGCAGAATCAAATAGAAACGGGTATTCAGAGGTTTAGATGCAAGCGAGTGGCGTAAGTGTTGTTATTATGCCAGGATATATACGCAGTACTAACTACTACCTAGATCCAAAAGATCTGGACACTTTGTCACTGTTTGATACTATTTGGCACTGTTTTGTGTAGATTTATTTGCTAATGCAAATAAGTAAGTGTAAAGATCTTTTTGGTACTGCTAAAAATGGAAAGTGAAAAGATCTTTCATAATCGGAGGGAGTATATGGCAGACCTTATCCGCGTTTGTCGCTGTCAAAAGTGTTACTACGTAATACGTCCCAAATTGATACTTCTAGGTCCATTCGAATTTGCCAATTTTCTTTTTTTTTCTCTCAAAAAACTTTGCAACTTTCCTATTAAAGCAACTTATTTGTGGTTTTGCACATTTCTCTCTTCTACACAAATCTCAACCACACAATTTTTACTATTCTTATTTTTCACCTACTTTGCACTTGGCAAAGTCCACCGGGACGGAAGTAGTACTAGTATACTACCTCCCTCCCAAATATGAAAAATGCTAGAAGTACAAACACACTTACAAAAAAACTTACAAACAAGTGATGTGGCTATTCTAATTACCATTGATGTAAAAGTGTTGTAAATGTGATGTGATGTGTTAAATAATGTGATGATGTCACATACTCCTTTTGTAAGACTTTTTATGAAAGTGTTTGTATCTCTAGCATAACTCCCCAAATATATACGGAGTACTCCGTAATTTGAACAAAATTTCAAGGAACCTTATCTAGCTCTTTTAATAGAATCTGATAAACATCAATACCATTTGTTAATGAATAAACTCTGAAATTAATGTCAAGTATCATATGCTCTTATGGCATCACCATGGCACTCTCAAAGAGAAAGTCAAAGGTTCGAATCTCATCCCAGTTCAAGGATGTTGACCTTAACATAGAACAGATATTATGATATTGTAGAAAGATTTGCCAAAAAACTATTTGTCTGCCTTCTCGGTCGAATTTTGAGCTGATATTTTTTGTGGATAAACTAGACTTGATGAGAGACATGCTCAAAAAAATTCCACCCCAAAAGGCGGCATTCGGACGGCGGCTCTTGTCCGATCTTCAGACGAACTACTGGACAATAGCAATTCTCTCTATATATATACACACACATTGAATTATTTGTATAACATTTTCGTAGTAATAACATTATTTGTGAAAATCTTGGTTTTCCTACAATCATGTTTTATGGCGGAGAAACTTGAATGGATGAGGAGGAGAGGATGAGGAGGAGAGCATGAAAACTATACCAAAAGTATATAAATAGTATGTTTGATTGGTGAAGGATAGACAAATGCTATTCAATTAGTTTTTGTAATTTGATTCTAACTACGGAGTATCAATTTCTTATGATATTTAAATTCGGGTTTTCAGATATTATCACGAACAACTTGATTTCATCTCAGTCGTAAATCAATCGAAAATGATAAAGATTTAAGGACAGAGATATGTTCTTTTACTTTTCGGCCCACACTTAATAAAGGATCTAGATCAGCCGCTGCACCCAACTGCAACCAAAAACTTTCTTAGAGCCCTTTTCTTTGATACAAGTTTGCAGTCCATCGGCATCATCCCAATTACCCTGGTTGGAAGACATATTGGCAGCAAGGACATAGTTGGCTGCAATATCAGGCTCTATTCTATGCAAAATTTCCTTAAGGTTCTCATTGATATGAGGAACAATGCGTTCATGCTGTTTGCAGGCACTAATAAAGCTTCTTAGTATTACAGAATTCGGTTCCATCGGCATGTGCATGATGACCTGGTAAGCTTCCTCTATCTTACCTGCACGTCCAAGCAAGTCCACCATACATCCATAATGTTCCATGCTTGGTCTGATATCATGAACACTCGTCATTCTCCTGAACAGGTCACGCCCTTTATCGACAAGATCCAAGTGACCGCAAGCAGACAAAATGGCAGAGAATGACAAGCTGTCGGGCCTCAGTCCGGATTTTTCCATTCTGGATAATAAGGATATGGCTTCTTCTCCATGGCCATTATCTGCAAGTGCAGATATAGTTATAGTCCAGGACCGCAGATTCTTGGCGCTCATTATATTGAAGATGTGGAAGGCTTTTTCCACGTGGGCGCACTTTGCGTACATCTGAAGGAGGGCTGTTCCGAGGCCAACATGCAATTCAATACCATGGGTCAGGATTTGCGAATGGATGGACTCGCCTAGTCTGGCATTCAGGAGACTGGTACACGCAGATAGCAAGCTCACCAAAGTGATTGAAGTTTCCTTCTCATTTGCAAGCTTCATCTTCTTGAACACTCCCATAGCATCTGAAGGGAGGTTACTACAAGAATTCAAGGAAGTACATAGGATGATAGGAACACTCAAAACTGATGTGGAAGGGAACAGTTCCATGTTTCTAGGAAAACAGGAACTATATCAAGATTTGTTATATCATATATGCATCAATGCACAAAAGATTTAAAAACGGGGATAATGTCCACTCAATATAAAAACAAAATTAAGAAAAAAGGAAAAGTTTTTCGGGAGAATAGCACATTTTACTAATGTACGCATCACAAGTGAAAAGGGGATCGGAACACTCTTGCCCATTGCCTTACCACACTATCAAGCAAGTAAGCAACACTAAAATGATAATTCTCTTCTATAGAGCAATGGTTATGCAATAATATAATGGTACGGATATTTAGCGACCAAAAGAGATCTTGTAGCTATCAATATTAGACAGCCCGGCTCAAAAATATTAAACGTTACAGAGTAGTATAAGAATAAGTAATGCATAGAGAACTGAAACCATTTCTTTAAAGCAGTCCTAAAAATGGTCTTGCTAAATCCGATTAATAATCTTCAGGTGCATTACTCCCTCAGTCCCTCTGTCCCAAAAAAAATTCGTAATGCACTTTTTGGTTCAACCTAAATTTAAGTTCATGTTTGTTATAAGGAAAAGAGTTAAATGGTTCTTTTTTCTTTGTCCAAAAGGTTCTTGTGAATTAAGGATCATGTTAAGTTTTATGAGAAGTGTTATGTACTTATGACTTTATGAGGTTCACTGATTCCAAAAAAATGTGGTTCACTGATTCAAAAAAAAATGTGTCTGGAACTTATTTTGAGATGGAAGTAGTTTGATTATTCAAACAAAACCAAACTACGAATAAAGTTAAGATGTCTGAAAACAGAATGAAAAAACAAGAAGAATATCCTCACCCATCAACATAGCTAGAAATCATAAAGCTCTAAGAAACCATGTCCCTTTCAGACATTTCTTCGAACACCTTCCTTGCAAACGCTATCACACCACATGCAGCGTACATTTTCAGGAGGGCGTTATTCACATGGACATCAAAAGAAAACCCCTTCTTTATCGACATTGAACGAACTGATCCGCCAGTTCCAACAATGGAACAGCACCCATCAGATTTTAGCACGGAGGGGAAAACAATCTTATCAGGTTTTATTCCGGTTCTCGAAAGGCGGATAAACGACTTAGGGACTCAATCTCACTGGAGCTTTTCGAGTACTCCAATATCAACGCATTCCACGTGAAGAGCGATGGAGTGATCGGAGTGTTTTAAAATACTGATCGCGCGAAAAGAAGCGATATGGAACAAGCTGAGAATACGAATTGGGAGACTAGAAACTCGTCGTGATCAGGACAAGTTTTGATGTTGAGCGAGTGGAATTGGAAGATGAGAAATCTGTTTTGGTCGTTTGAACAGCCTCCCAACTGGCCGCCGGATCATCAGCCATCACCGCCGGACTCAGCTCTTCTTGTCAAATCACGTCTGCTTAATTTGAACTTTTTTACTAATTTGGTAATTGGGCAATAAACTTTTCAGCTCTTTCATTCTCCCATACCGAAAACATATAAATATTATAGCGCTTTATAATAATTGTTTCAACACATTTGTCCAATTATATGATTCACTTCAAATCATTTGACTTAAAAGATATTCATATTGTATGGATTCTTTCCATGGACGAACTGAGAAAGTAAAAGACAAACTAATAAAAATACATTAGTTTGTAATGCACTTTTTCAGTTCCTTCATGAAAGACTTCAAACGATTTAAATTTCAATAACACTTTCTTTGTAGATGTAATTTTTTGTTTATTGCAAAATAATTTAATTAAAAATCACATCCTTGACTATTTGCTTTAGGCACTCCAATTTAAATTTTAAAACTACTTTTTTTGTAGTGTTTGCTTTTCTTGTTCTAATTTTTGTCTCTTGCAAAATAGTTTAATTAAATATCACATCCTTGATTATTTGCTTTGAGGCACTCCAATATACTCTGTATGATTTCGGGCGTGTTTACTTTGTTGCTAAAACTACAATTAGACACTCCAATATAACCCATACCTTTCCCCTACCCCTATGCATACCCTTACTCCTACCCTGATGTAGAGTAGGATAGGGGTAAGGGTAAGGGTAGGGGTCGAGTATGAGTACTAAGGTAGGGTGGAGTGGGGAAGGGTTAGGGGTCGAGGTAGGGGTATGCACCACGGGTAAGGGTAGGGGATAAGGAGTAGGAGTATGGGTATGATAGGGGGTAGAGTTAAAGGATAAGGGGCATGGGTAAGGGGGGTAGTCCCCCGTGTATTACATATACTTGTGTATACATGATGATAGTCCCTCGTCTTTAACAATCAAACAAACATGGCAGATAAAGAAGAAGCAGATAGAAAGATATCGAGATTAAAACCAAATCTGGTATACCGTGAACTGGCTGATGCCCTCCCTCAAGAGAGAGAGCAGCGGCAAACCCTACTCTCTATCTCGTCTGTATGCTCTCAGCCTTCAAAACCTTAGGGTTTCCATAAGTTAGCCTCCTTTTATAGGAGTATGGGTATGATAGGGGGTAGAGTTAAAGGATAAGGGGCATGGGTAAGGGGGTAGTCCCCCATGTAATATATATACTTGTGTATACATGATGATAGTCCCTCATCTTTAACAATCAAACAAGCATAGCAGATAAAGAAGAAGCAGATAGAAAGATATCGAGATTAAAACCAAATCTGGTATACCGTGAATTGGCCGCTGCCCTCCCTCAAGAGAGAGAGCAACAACAAACCCTACTCTCTATCTCGCCTTTATGCTCTCAGCCTTCAAAACCTTAGGGTTTCCATAAGTTAGTCTCGTTTTATAAGAGAAGTTGGCTAACTTATGGATTACAAAGAAGCTAATGGGCTGATACACATTTGTGGCCCATATTACACGTTTAACTAATAACTACACAAATACAAAGATATTAAATTAGATTGGACACGATAAAATATTCCTAACAATCTCCCCTTGGTGTTCAATTGTGTTGAATCAGCATTGCAGCGCAGATATCTTTGTCTTTGTTGTTATTCAGCTTCCTTGGTCTTTGAACTTGACTTCTTGAAAAGGCTTTATGAAGAACTCCTTGCAATCTCCCCTTTTGATGTCTTCTTTTCAATTTGATCTTTGATGTCGGGAGTTGAGGAATCTTTTGCTTGTAATCCTTGTCTTCCACAAGTAGCTCTTGATCAGCTTGAATGAAGTCCGAAAGCGCCTCTAGAATGAATGTTCTGATGTTTACCAGGCGCGCACAGGATTCATCTTCAATACATGAGTATTTGACCTCTGTCTCCTCCACAATGTAGTCTTCTTGACTATTTGAAGTGAATGCGTTTGAGGAGAACTTGGAGGTGGCACAGCGGAAAACAATGGTTGATTTGTGAGCATAGCTGACCATATGAGGTGTAGAGATAGAAGAGAATTGTTGGAGGAGAGAAGTGTCCCAGAATAATTTGGTGACATTTAACAGCTTGTGGACCACTCTCCCCTCATGACGATCCGATGAATCGGGGCATCATGCCTTTATTCTTTTTGAACTGGGAAACAAAATAGAAAAACAAAACAGAAAGTTAAAATAACAAAACCGGATACACTGAGGTGTTCCGTTATCACAACATCAATGTAAACACGGATGTGTGGTCTGTATAAAATGATAGAAACATTAAAGCTCTAACAGGACTTCCAACGAGTTATTGTGAAGCATCCGAAGAGATGTCACTCTGGTTGTTATTTGCATGATCATAAAGATCAGCATTGAGAAACTTGTAGCCCCCCGAGGTCATGTAGACACTTGTTATCATCACTATAGAGATAAACTCTAAAGTAATGGCTTGAAAATGTTGGTGATAAGCAATGTTGCAACAGAAGGACTTCCTTCCAATCATTGGTCTACATCGGTAATAGATGAGCCCTATGGAAGTTCTCGCAGGTCATGTAGACCTGCAACTGACTCAAAAGTGCGTCTGTGTCCTAGAAATTTTCAAAACATTTGGGAGTGAGTAACTAGACATGACGTGATCAATGAGTGTTCAGTGGCATGGGGTTGAGGCCACTGTAGTCAGTATTACTTGCCTCGAAAGGAGACAGAAATGAGAGACATGGTTCCCCGTGATCTATGATTAAACACTTGTCTGTTGGGAGACAAGTGAGTGGTCTTGGGTAGGGTTACAAATGCACTGTTGGACAAGATGCAGTGACTTCTACTCGGGATCTGATTAAATCAGTCCTGAACCTGTTGGGGAATTGCCCAGAGTATTTGAGTGACTAGGAGTAAATGTTCAATGGATAGTAGGCAGTTGAGGTAGCAGACTTATCATTGATAATTGCTTTTCTTGCTCACTCGAGCCTTCTACTTCGTAACGCTCATAATGTTCACTCACTCACTCACTCACTTACTCTCAACTTTGTCCCTTGGGTAGGCTTAGTTGGGTTTACTAAGCTGTAGGGACATGTTCTCTCATTAATTTTCTCTCTATACTCCCCCTCAACTGGAGCACTCGGTATGCTTTGTCATTGTTAGGCACCGGGGAGGATAACATTGAACACTCCCCCTAAAATGTTGCATCCTTTGAGAGATTCTTTGCTTTGTCGGTGTAAGGCGCCAGGAGGAGAAAACTGAAACTCCCCCTCAGAATCTGCAAGGTTTGATTGCTCACCGCTTGTCATACCCACCATGTGTGTGGAGCAATCTGAACAGGTACCACACATGACGGTTTCCCTAAGCTCATCATTTAGAAATTCAGCATATTGATGTTCACACAAAAGAGAGAGCAGCGGCAAACCCTACTCTCTATCTCGCCTCTATGCTCTCAGCCTTCAAAATCTTAGGGTTTCCATAAGTTAGCCTCCTTTTATAGGAGAAGTTGGCTAACTTATGGATTACAAAGAAGCTAATGGGCTGATACACATTTGTGGCTCATATTACACGTTTAACATATTCCCAACACAAGAATCTTTGTGTGTCTATATATGTATATAGTTATTTGAACATTTTAATGTTAAACAGTGTTTTAAATCATATAAAGTAAACATGAGCTTATATAGCACTGTTTTTTTAACGTTGTCTATTAACGCAAGTGTTAATAGGTATCGCTTAGTAATCTCTAATGTAAACATGTTCTTAGTGTTATCCGTATTGATGTGTTGAAAAATCAAAATGGTTTTATGTACGAAGTATTTTAAATGCCACCTTATCATATTTTAAAATTGAACTTCAATAGAAAATTTGGGGGATGACAAGGGAAGGATTTAAATGGTAGCCAACGAAGGGAAAGGGGAGGTGAAATTGAAGAAAATGTTGTTTTTGTTTAGGAGTTATAAATTTGGGAAGATAAGGGTTACGAAAAATTATAATTAAAACCGTTAAAGATATACGTAGTATATCGAATTCAATTAGTTAAACTTGTATTCATTTTATAAAAGTGAGTTAAAATTGAGTTGAAATTATCATTTATTTTGTTATCATTCCAAAACCTCCAAATTGGGAGAATTTAAAAATTGAGCATTTAAAGGATATTGGAGCTTATAAAAGTCTTCCAAAATCTCCCTCCAATTTTTTAACTTTCAAACACAAATAAGAGAGTCATTAACCGCCCACATGTCTATCTCTCCCCTAAAAACTAACTCCCAAAAACACCCTAAGGGTATGTTTCGGAATTTTGGGGGAGGGGGAAGGGAAGGGTGGTTAGCAATGAGAGGGGAAGGGGAGGCAAAGTGAAAGAAAACCTTGCTTTTTTTGCGAAAAAAGAAAACGTTGTTTTTTATTTGGGAATTATGAATTTAGGAAGAGAAGGGTTACAGAAAATTATAATTAAAATCGCTTATATATACTTGTGTATACATGAAGCTTTGTGTATTTATATATGTATAAAGTTACTTTGAACTTTTTAATATTAAACGGTGTTTTAAATCATGTAAAGTAAACATGAGCTTATATAGCACTATTTATTTTAACGTTGTTTATTAACGCAAGTGTTAATAAGTATCGCTTAGTAATCTCCCATGTAAACACGTTCTTAGTGTTGTCCATATTGATGTGTTGAAAAATTAAAATGATTTTATGTACGAAGTATTTTAAATGCCACCTTATCATATTTTTAAAATCGAACTTCAATAGAAAATTTGGGGGACGGCAAGGGAAGGATTTAAAGGGTAGCCAACAGAGGGAAAGGGGAGGTGAAATTGAAGAAAAAGTTGTTTTTGTTTAGGAAATATAAATTTGGGAAGATGAGGGTTACAAAAATTATAATTAAAACCGTTACGGATATACGTAGTATATCGAATTCAATTAGTTAAACTTGTATTCATTTTATAAAAGTGAGTTAAAATTGAGTTGAAATTATCATTTATTTTGTTATCATTCCAAAACCTCCAAATTGGGAGAATTTAAAAATTGAGCATTTAAAGGATTTTGGAGCTTATAAAAGTCTTCCAAAACCCCCCTCCAATTTTTTAACTTTCAAACACAAATAAGAGTCATTAACTCTCACATGCAGGCCCGGCCCAGCCCATGTGCAAGTGGAGCAAATGCACAGGGTCTCCATTTCCTAGAGGGCCTCCATTTTTTATTAGGATAGTT